CTGCCTCCTTTTCCTCCTCTCTGCCTCCTTTTCCTCCTCGCTGCCTCCTCTCTGCCTCCGTTTCCTCCTCTCTTCCTCCTCTTTTCCTCCTCTCTTCCTCCTCTCTGCCTCCTTTTCGTCCTTGCTGCCTCCTGTGAGGCTGTACCTGACTGGTGTGGCTGTTTACACCTGAGTGTGGGTCAGCTGCTGGTGGGCTGTGCTAATGTTAGCTTGTGTTGCTGCTCTTATTGTTGCTCTGTAGGTGAGACACACTCGCCTGTTTATTTCTGTGAATAACTCACCGAATGACAAAAAAACTTCCTGAATCTTGAATCAGTCATCCGCCCTTCTCTCATTCTCTCCTCATCCCTCCATCTTCACCTCTTTTCCTCCACCCATCCTTCCTTTAACGTGTATTACCTCGATCACTTCTTCTCTGGCCCTTTTTCATATTTTCCTTTTCCCTTACCTCATATTTCATCTTGCTTCTTATTTCCTTATCTCCTCACTTCCTACACCTTCCTAGCTTCCTCTCTTCTCTCTTTTATTGTCCTTTCTCCCTCTGTCAGTCTGCCTCCTGCTTCCTGATCAAAAAGAAAATCAGTGATTGGAACTTGAGAGCAGCTGAACAGACACAGATTTGACTCTTTCCTCAGACAGAAAGACTAAAATCAGCTAAATTTCACTGAATTATCAGAAAATCGTTGAACTGTTTCCTGCTGTGTGAACAAAGAGACTCACCTGATGTAAAGAGGACGATTCTGCCTGATAGATGAGCTCAGACTTTACAATGAGCCGCTCGGTCTGCTAAAACTGGTCCCAACCCCAAGTCCTGGACTCACCAGAGCCTCTGATGTGTCACCAGAAAACGGACCTGCTGTGAAGTCGTTTCTGGAACTTTTCTTTTGGTGAAATCACTGCGAATCATTCTTGTGTCAGACTTAACTTAATAAAATGAAATGTGATGAATAAAAACGAAGAATAATAAAAGTTAGCAGGACAAAGATGAATGAGGTCGTCTACTGTGGACACCTGCCAGCTGACCAGTTGGCAGGCGGTTGCTGGTAGTTTTCAGGTGAAAGTGGTCGAAAGATGGTTGCTTTGGTTTCTAGCAGGTTTCCATGGTCGCCCATAATTTGCATGGAAGACGCCGATTTGTCTGCAAACACTCGCCAACTTCTCTTCAAGCAGAAGAGTCACAAACTGGAAATGGAGACCAGTCACCTCCAAAGTAAAAGTTGCACCTTTTTGCACTAGTTAAGCACAACTTTTACTCTGAAAGAACACAGTCTTGTGTCGCCCTCTCTCCGGTCTCACGGCTCGCTCGTTAGAAAGACGCTAACGTGGAGATGAGTTGCCTTCTTCAATGTATCTAAGTGCAACTCTGCCAACCTGCTGGTGACCAAAGCAATCACACAGAGGTTTTTGGTGCCCCCATCTTTTGCGACCGATCTCACGCAGTGACAGCCAGCACGTTTCCCTAGCAACCGATGGTTGATAGGCGGCCTGGGTGATGAGGGTCAAGCTTGTCACCTCCCTGCTCTTATGTGAACGCTTCAGTGCTTGATGTTGGTGTTCTTCATGTTTGTGGGCGTATCTCTGCTACCTTCATGGTCACGGTGTTGGTAACTAACCACCACGAGGCAAGCTAGTCGTGCTTCAATTAGCAGTTAGCAAAGCTAGCTGCCTGTGAGTAACTGTGTTCTGAAACACGGTGATTGTTCCCCGCAGCGATTCCCACATTTTGAGCAGGTCACGCTGCCCGCTCGCTCTCTTGGCTTTGGTAACGTGATTTCATTGGCTGACGGCTGTATGGGAGCGTTTGACTCGATGTGACTTGGCTGATGCTTTTGCTTCAACAATTGAAATAATAATAATAATAATAATAAACTTTATTTATAAAGCACACTAAAAAACCAAGGGTATACCAAGGTGCTTGACAAAAATAAAATAGGAAAAGGGAGAAGGGAGGGAAAAGAGAAAGGACCTGGCACGTATCAATTATAAAAACCTTGACAATCATAAGATATAAAAGTAGTTCACAAGCATAACGGATAAAAATGTACCAACGCACACCAAGTGTTAACTAGGTGGAAAGGCAAGATTATACAAATAAGTCTTCAGCCGTGATTTAAACAGTGGCATAGAGTCAGACGCCCGGATAGCGACAGGAAGGTTGTTCCATAAGACTGGCGCAGCTACAGCAAACGCGCGGTCACCGCGAGACTTCAGCCGAGAACGAGGTTCCTCCAGAAGAATTTGGGTAGCAGATCTAAGTGCTCTGACAGGAGTGTGTAACCTGAGAAGCTCATTGAGGTAGCTCGGCGCCAAGTTATTAATGGTTTTGTAGGTGAAAAGTAGTATTTTAAATTGAATGCGGTATTTAATTGGAAGCCAGTGCAAGCCAGCGAGAACAGGAGTGATGGAAGAAAACTTCCTGCTACCTGTCAAAAGGCGTGCCGCCGCATTCTGGACAGTCTGCAATCTAACGAGAAGGGTGGAGGAAAAGCCAGTGTAAAGAGTTGCAGTAGTCCAACCTGGAAGTCACGAATGCGTGAATGAGTTTTTCCAGGTCAGTGTGCGGAATATAGCACTTAGCCTTAGAAATGAGGCGCAGCTGATTAAAACTAGACCTCACAACAGCAGACACTTGCTTGTCAAATTTAAGCGAGCTATCCAGTAGTGCCCAAATTACTGGCATAATCAGAAGGAGAGCTAGCAAAAGGCATCAGAGCAGCGCACAGTTGGTCGCGGGGGATTTTACTATCAAACACCACGATCTCCGTTTTCATTTCGTTCAGGACAAAAGAATTACTCTTGAACCAACCTTTAACCTCACGCATGCATTCACGAAAACAGTGAAAAGACATAGCAAGCTCGTCAGTAATCTCAAAATAAATCTGTATATCATCAGCATAGCAATGAAAGGCAATATTATACTTCTCAAACATTGCTCCAAGAGGGAGCAGATATAGCGAAATTCTTTCAAATTTCAGTGCAAACAATTTCGAGCAAAGCGAAACCCTTCTGCACGTCGCCTTGCTCAAAGCCAACGGGAACACCGAACGCCACCTTTTCTCACCGCACACGGAGCAGAGCAGGTGGAGACCGGAGGACCGAAATAACCAATTTAAAGGCAACATGCTAGCTTAATATACACAAAATAAAAGCTTCCCAACAAGGCTGTGTCCTAACAGAAAGGTTAACATGGTAGAAACACAGCGGTTAGTCTCTTGATGTGGTTGTCTTGGAGATGATCGAGGAGCCTGTCCGTGACGACTTCATTCTCAGTTCAGTCAGTAACGTAATGAACCTCCCTCAGCGTCTGAGCTGAGTCTCAACTGAAAAGTCTTTAAATCAGGATAAAAAGCAAACAGTTGAAATATGTTTCTACGTGAGGCCAGCAGACGGGGGTCCCTCGCTGTGTGGGACCATTTTTTAAAGTCGCTATTTTCTGATGAATCACTTTTATTTTCACTTTCTGTTGGGCTTAGGTTATTTGCTGCAGTGTGAGAATTAAAATGAGTCCCTGTACTTTGTCTCCATCGGATATACGATTGGCTGCCTGAAGGCTCAAAGTTCACAGAGTTCACTTTAACGCAGTAATGAGGTCAGACAGTGGCGAGGCTGTGCTGAGGACGTCCTCACAGTTACCGCCCTGTGAAACACCTCTGATGCTCAGATCGTACAAAGACCGGAGACCCATCAGCAGCCCTGCTGAGCACGCAGCTCGCTTGTGTTGTGATTGATGTTCGACTGTAATAAAGACACGATTCATTCAAATAATCGACTCAGGATAGAGTTTACTCCTTCTGTCTCCACTTAGTGCTTAATAACTTCTTACAGAACCTCGTTAGAGGCGTCGCATGAATAAGACATAAACTGCATGAGCTTCATTTGGACCAAATCTGAGTCTCAAACATTTGGTCTGCTAATCAGA